ACTCCAATACAAGAAGCAAAGGGCACTTGTTGTTGTTGCTATTGTTGCTTTGTCCCCACTCCCCGCTTCCACGTTTCGCGCTGTCACTTTCCTTCCTTCTTGCTGTTGTTTTCTTTTCCGCCTACTATGATAACCTCCCGCCTCGCGTATACAACGCAGGTGGCTGAAGCGGAGACGCGCTCTCAGTCCACACCGGACTGCACTTCATGGCATAACTTACTTACCCCTGTGAACACCGACAATCCAGCATCAATACCATCACAGCACGGCGCAACAGGGCTTCGCGTACTTCTTTGACATTTGAATATGCTGTGCGCCTACCACAACACGTTGGCAGCTCCTCTCGAGACTTTGCTGAATCATTGTAAGCTGATCATGCTGCCCTTGCACAAGCAACTGTAGATCACTGAACAGTTGCAGAAGATCTCGCATATCCCGCTCTAGCTCTAGTACGGCATCCCGCGTGCACATCACCCGCTCGAGTTCATCCCGTGCCAATAAAAACAACCGCTCCTCATTGCCCGTCACCACAAGCCGTCGTGCGACCTCTCTGGCGTGTTCAACGCTCATCTCACCTTTGTTGGAAATCTCACCGCCACCAGCATCCGTCATCCCAAAACGTGCCTTGACACGCCTTGCAGTGGCGTCAATCAGACGCTCTTCCTGCACCTTCTGCGCCTCCCACACTGCTCGCACCCATGACATCAGCTGGTACTCCATGAACATGGCAATGTTGTGTCGCATACGCAGCTCCGCCATGTTCAGCGGATAGGGGTTGTCGTGTATTCCCTCTGCCAGCTTCTGGGTGGTGCAATTGTACATGTGTATCATCTCCCGAGAGAAGTGGCACTCGGAACAAAGCTTTTCCACAGCATCCCGCACGCGTTCCCGCTTCTCTGCGCGCAGCTCCACTAGTTGCCCGAGGTGCAGCGCCTCCAGCGCCTCCACCTGCAACCGTATCTTAGAAAGAGAGGTAAAAATGGGACGCGTTTCATCGTTGACTGGTAGCCACGTAGAGTTTCGGTCGTGCCTATTGTCGTTGCTGGTGCCGCCGTGTGGAGCAGGCCGCTGCTCATGGTGCGGGACCAGGGCAATGAACTCGGCCATTCGATTGTGAGCCATTCAAAGGCAGCCCCTGCACACCACGGAGGGCGCCAGGTGCGCCCTCGCCCTCTCTTCCACCCGTTTCAGTGTTGTTGGCATGCAGGGTGCACGCCGCATGCGATGCCAGAAAGAGAAAGAGAGACAAAACAAAAAGGCAAAATAAGAACGATAGTGAAACTGATAGACAACATTCCATGCCTGCGCACACATACCCACCATGCCATGAAACAAAGGGTTTTAATTCTTATGGTGGAACTCTCGTTGTTCCCGCCTTCTTCGACGGCTACCTCCACATAGGTGGATATACCTATTGTGTGTGTGTGTGTGTCTGTTGTTCTTTGCTTTCCTCTGCTTAAACAAAAAAAAAAAATCGTTATTGCTGCTCGATCCCCACACACACACACTTATCTATCTGCCTCTTTCTCTTTTTCTTTTTCCCTCTCTCTCTCTCTCTCTCATATATATATATATATATACTACCCTCCCTG